ATTCCATAATTTAAAGCTATATAGCATAACCCAGACAATATTGGTCTTAAAAAGGGAGGGGTGTGTGTGTGTGTGTGTGTGTGTGTGTGAGAGAGAGAGAGAGAGAGAGAGAGAGAGAGAGAGAGAGTCAGATTATTGAATATATTATGTAGTTTCCAAAACACAATCCAGTATGTTCTCCTTACTCAGTCTCAGTCCATAAGCCATCTCCAATGACTGTCCAAATGTATACAGACTGATGGTCTTACTCAGTGGTTTACAAACTGTGGTCCACCAAAATCCTTTCAGGGGGCCCACAGAGTCAAAACTATTTTCACATTAATAGTAAGGTATTATTTGCCCATTAAAATACACCTCCTTTTTCCAACTTCATATTTGTATAAGACTAGATTTTCTTCATATATTTTAACCAAGTCAATGTATCACAACAAATCGAACACAGAAGCTGATATGAGAATCAAGCTGTCTTTAATCAAGCTAGACCTCTAAAAGAATTGCCAAAAAAAAGTAAGACAACAGCACTCTTTTCACAATTTCTTTGTTTCAGAAAACAGTTGTTTTTCCTTTAAAATATAATCTCTGTTAACATAATAGGTTTATAGTTATTTTAAAGGAATAAATTTTTAAATGTTATCAGTTTTAATTTACAGTATGGCAAATATTAATATATATAACCCACATAAACTTAAGAGCTCCTTGGGGTCCTTAATAATTTTTTAGTTTAAAAGGCTCTTGAGACTAAAAAAGTTTGAGAACTACTAGTGTAACCCAATGGACTGACCACAACTCTATGTCATACATAGTCTGGGCAATAAAAAGCTCTTTATCCATTTGATTTTGCCTATGTAGTAAGGACAATTTCATCTGAGTGTCCAAGAACCTAACTGGGGATAACCTATAGTATTTCTGGGCTTGTTACAATCAACGCAAAGTCATCCACATATAGGAGCATCTGGAGAAACCCATTTCCTTTTCCAGCTGAACTCTGTTCAGGAGATCCTCCACAAAAATGATGAGTAACTGTGGCAAACATAAGCCTCCTTATTTTGAGTCTCCTTTTATATTGATCTAAGGATCACTGAATGAGGATATCTTGGTTGTTTAATTTATTAAGGATTCTTTTATGATCTTATCAAAAGCATGGGAGACCACTTGTTAACCTTTGGGATTGATTTTATATAATCAACAAATAATGGGGTCTTAGATTTGCCGAACTTTTGAGTCACTCATGTGACTGTGAAAATCTTCTGTAGAAAATAACTTACAGGGCAGCTAGGTGGTACAGGGGATAGAGTACTGGTCCTGAAGTCAGGAGAACCTAAGTTCAAATCCAGCCTCAGACACATAACACACACTAGCTGTGTGACTCTGGGCAAGTCACTTAACCCCAATAGCCTTTAAAAAAAATAATAATAATTTACAAAAACCTGCTGTTCCCTCCTCCTATTTTCAAGGTGCCTGATTTTCAGAAAGATGTTATGGAGATAAGAAAGTAGAGGTGTGGATTCTCAGTTGCCTTTATTGATATGAATAGCACCGGTGCTTTTTTCCATTTATTTAATATCTTCCTTCTTTGAACGTTCTTGAAAATCGATCCCCAAGAACCTTCAAAATTGTGGTGCTTCCAGCCCAGATTGCTTCTGTTGCACATTTGGTCATATTAGCCCCTCTTCCTGATTTTATCTTCTTAAATACCATTTCCACTTTCTATCTAGAATACCTGATATTGGTAGTTCCACTCTAATCTATGAAAAGGATAAATCAATATAAAAACATTGGCAAATTTTTTCAGTTTTGTGTTTATTTATTCTCCATATGATTTTATCTATTAATGATTTTGAGGTGACCAGAATTTAGTAGAGTATCTCATAAAGCTCGTTGGAGGAATCTTTCCCTTACACATATACACACACTGCTTTTCTCTATTTTGTGATTATTTATAATCTTCCATTGCAAACTAAATGTTGAAAATTAATATTTAAAATCATAGTAGCTTTGCATTTTTCTTATTTTTATCTCAGTATGAACTTTGTTTTATGCTAAATCTATTTATCCCTTTCTTAAGGAAAAAAAAAGATTATTCTGATATAGGCTTAATGAACCTTGACTTTTATCCCATACAGCTAACCTTTGCTGTTAAAACAAAAATTTGTTTTAAGTGGTAATCCATAAAAATCATATTAACAGTCTTCAGTTCCACTGCAATAGAATTGGAGCTCTGGAAGAGAAAAATAGGGAGAAAGCTATCTTACTGATAGAAATGTCCTATCTTCTGCTTGATTAGGAAGGAAAGCAGGTAACCTTAAAATGATAATGAGAGAATGACTTAGAACCCATTATGACAGGCATCAGATTACTGAGAAATACCTATTCATTACAACCATTCAATGATTTCTTTTGGTATACAGTACCCACTGAGCTACGCTAAAATGTTACCTACATCAGTTAGGCATATCCTCTCCATTACCTTTAGTTCTATCATTCTTACTTTTTATGATTGATATGGAAATTCTTTATCCAGTCCTCAGAATGAGAAAATATCTAGGGAATTGAGGAAAATATTTCCCTGAAAAGATAAAATTAGGGCATATTTTTTCTCACTCAGAAATTTCTTCTTGTCTTAAAATTCACTGTTGACCATAATTTAAACTGTGTTGAAATTTTTAAAAAATCTATGTAACCGAGAAAAAAAAAAAGCCTTTTTTTCAAATTATGTCTGGGGCAAGAGTAGTGTTTGAATTCTAATTAGCCCTACTTCTGTTGACAACTGATTTGCGTGATTAAATGCAACTTGATGGCATCATTGTTCTATTCCTACCTAGTTTTGTCTCTATGTAGCACAGAGAAAAGCACAAGAATGTTGATCTGAAGTCACACATTTAAAGATTAGGATCTTATTTTCCAGACAGCAAGTCTTTTACGACTCTAATTTCTATTCTAAGTGTACGAAGTATTCGGAATTTATTTCTACAGCCAACTCACAGATAAAACTCATTTACTAAAAGGTTGAATGTTTTCTTTTTGACTTTGAAAGAATGTGCATTAGTAGAATTTGAGAGATTAGTAGAATTTGAGAGAAGAACAGAGGAGTCACTATAATGAAAAAGGCACTGCAGTTGGAATCAGGATGCCTGTGTCCAGTTCTGGGATTGACAGTCATTTAAACTCTTTAGGCCTGAGTTCCCACATCTGTAAAATAAGAAAGTTTGACAAGATGACCTCTAAGGTACTTTTGGGGTCTAAAGCTTCTTCCTCTGTTCTGAGCTTTTTAACAAAATCAAATAAAAATTCCTCAACATATCATTTGTGGTGAAAATTTTAGAATAAATAGTCCCAATTATTTCCTACTAAGACTTGGATTGTTGTTGTTCAGTCCTTTTAGTCATGTCTGACTCTTCATGAACCCGTTTGGGGTTTTCTTGGCAAAGATACCAGAGTGGTTTGCTATTGCCTTTTCTGGATAATTTTACAGATGAGGAAATTGAGACAAACAGGGCTAAATGACTTGCCCAGGGTCACACAGCTGGTAAATGTCTGAGGCCGAATTTGAACTGAGGTCTTTCTGGCACCAGGTGCAGCACTCTATTCACTACACTACTAGTTACCCCTCTTGGATACAGTCTTGTAAAAAACAAAAATATCCCTTACTCTCTATATCCAATCGGTTGCCAAGTCATATTGATACTCCCTGTGTAATAGCTCTTTCATACATTTTCCCCTCTATTTGCATAGCCTCTATAATTCAGGCCCTCCTCACTTCTCATCTGAAATATTATCATAACCCTCTATGATCTGGTTTCCAGTCTCTCCTCTCCCCATTCAATCCTCCACACAGCTGCCAAAGTAATGTTCCTAAAACATATTAGAACATGTTACTCCCCTAGTCAAGAAGCTTTAGTGGCTCCCTACTGCCTCCAGAATAAAATAAAACATTCTCTGTTTGGCATTTAAAGCTCTCCACAATTTAGCTCCAACCAGACTTCCAGTGTTATCTCTTATTGTTTCACCCAAAATGCCCCTCCCCTCTCCAGTCAAACTGACCTGCTGACTTTTCCGCATACATTCCCCTATGGCCCAGATACCTTTACATTGGTACCCACAGGGCACATGTTTTCTCTTCAACTCCCCATTTTAAAATCTCTAGCTTCCTTCCAAACCCAGCTCAGATAACACCTTCTACATGAGGCCTTCCTGAATTCCCTGGATCACTCCCACCAGTTATTAGCATTTTCTCCTTGGAATTGCTTATTATAATATCAACTTATTTTATATCGATTTCACTTGTGTATTTGTTGTATTCTCCCTCCCCAAAGTAGAATTTAAGCTCCTTAAGGGTTACAATTTTTTGTTTATCTCCAGTGCCTTGCACACAGCAAAAACTCAATAAATGTTAAATTAAATTGACTTTATTTTAGTTTTTTAGAAAATATGCTTTATGTTAAATTAGTATTTTTTTCCAATATTGGTTTTAATCATAGAAACATATGCCTAGATCTGGAATATGTTTGAAAGACAATGTTCCCACAGTACAATAATACATGATAGTAAAAATTGACCACAATTATTTTCCAATAATAGTTTTTAGAAGTTCAACAACAAATACTTATCAAGAGTCCAAATGTTCATAGTTTTGTACTAAACATTTTGATTCCAGCCTCAGAAACTTAAGTTGCTTAATTTTTCTCAGCCTCAGTTTCTTCATGTATGAAATGAGGATAATAGCACCAGCCTCCCAGGGTTGCCATTAAGATCAAGTGAGATATGTAAAATGTTTTGTGAACCTTAAAGTACTATATAAATATTAACTAATATTATTAGGTACTCTGGATACAGAGAAGAAAAACAACACAGTCCCTGCCCTAATGGGACTACTAAAATGTGACTACTCAGCTTTCTACTTTGTCCTTAATAAGTGGTTTTATTCTGTTAGGCAAAACTGCTGAGCTCAGCAATTGTGTTTTTCTTTTCTCTCACTGTGTACTTTTAAAATCTCTTTCCAGATAAGAAACATAACAAAACTAACTCAACTTACTAAGACCAAAGCCTTGCAGCTAACTGAGAAGCTAGAGAATATGAAGGACCAAATAGAGCTGGGACAGCAAAGGACAAAAGCCCTCCTCCACAACGTGAAGGACTTTCTGCTAGGTAAATGATTTGTGAAAATGGTAGGCATGCTGCTGGTGGTTTCTCTTCTTGGGTTCATTTTTATTACCCAACTGCTTTTGCTTCATAAGAAAAGCAAGTTTATATTGGTTGGAAATTACATATGTAGTTTAAGGACAGGAAATGGCCCATCATGTATTATCTTGAAATAATAAACTGTTGCTTACCCAAAGGACCTTACAGCTCATCTGGTCCCACCCCTTCATTTTACAGATGAAGAAACCAAGGGCCATAGAGGTTAAATTGCTTGTTCGAGGTCATACAGCTTCCCATTGAAAATATTCTCAAAAAGTTAATGCTATGCTCTTCTTTATGGTTCTTTGAGTAAGCATGATTCACTAATAAATCCTGGAATATAACATACAACCCACACAAATGAACTCAGTGTTTTAAGCTTACTTAGTTTAAAAAATATTTTATGTTTCAAAAGAGGAAAGTCCCTTGGATTCAGTCTATGAGATCTAGTATTTGGGCTTCAGCAATTTACTCTGGGACTGGAGGGTAATGTGATAAAACTTTGCATAATAACAGAAGGGAGATTAATCTCATTCCACTTTGATCAATATCAAAATACATAAATACTAGGCTGGTAAACTATCAACTCTTCAAAAAGAAGTAAGCTGTTTGAGGGCAGAGACCATTTCTTTGTATCCCCAATGTCTGGCACATTGCCTAGCACAAAGTAGGCACTCAATAAATGCTTGTTTTATTGAACTGAATGGTAGCTGCTACAGAAATAGACGGGCAACTTTTTAACTTTATGACAACCACCCTATTTTCTTAGTTCTTTTACAAGGTTTTATGAGATAAGTGATAAAGGGGACCCATTTGTCTCACTATCCACAGTGCCTTATTTGGGGAGACCTACCACAGAAAGAAAAAAATATCATATCTCAGCACTTCAAGGATCTGTGATTTTATAAGTTAGGGTATTCCCTTCACCAATACAAATCACAACTTTTCTATGACTTTAGTAGATGGTCTTGGAGAGTTTCTGCATTGAAAAAAAAATCAATCAGCATACAGACCACTTAGTGATGAACCGCTAGATTGATCTTCAGTGGAACACACTCCTTTATCACTGAATTTAAACTCAAAGCCTTTACAACGTAGGAAGTCAGAGTGGTTGAATATTAACAGGGGCGGAATCAGAACTACCATTCTTAGTGTTCTGTTCCCTGTCTAGTTCATTGGATCCCATGTTCTAATTTGTGATTGGATCACAATATGATCACAGTCAAGTAGCATCTGTTTTCCTTGTTGGTCACTCAATTGATACATAATCTGACTTTGCACATTTATTTAACCCAAGAGTTTCAGAGCCCTTTGACAATTTTAATACTTAGGATCCTCAATTTAGAGCTGGAAGGGACCTCAAAGGGCATCTAGTCCAACTCCTTCATTTTATAGATGAGGAAGGTCAGGGAATTTAGGTGGCTTGCACAAGGTCACAAAGATAGCAAAATACAAAGTCAGGATGTGAGCCCAATTCCCCTGACTCCAGAGCCAAGTCTCTTTCCACTGTACCAATGCTAGTCCATATAGAGGGAAAATAGTGAAGTTCATTTGTAGAGGCTTCCCCACTAATCATACCTCAGAAGTTGTTGCCAACTAGCACGTTCATTTGGTAGTAACTTTTCCTGTTTAGCCTTTCTTTTCACCACTTAGTAGTATTTTTTTATTCACCATTTAGTAGTCTCTTGTTTTGTTTTGGAGATGGGGAAGGAAAAGACTTTGAAACTGTACCTTGGAAAAGATTCTTTCTGTCCAGCCCAACTGTTTCTCTAACAAATAACTTTTTTTCCCTAAGTATTCTTCCCTGAGCTCTTTTATCAGTGACACAACTATGATATAAACATGTTATCGTTAATATTCATTTTCACATTTTACTTACACTCTAGTTCTTCTTTTTCAATGTGTTTATGTGGTTTTCAAAAACCCCGAACACACACACAATAATTATGTCTATACATATACACACACATTTTATTCACACATATTTATTTATATCTTGTTTCCCCATTAGATGATTCTTTGTATCCCTAGAGTTTAGCACAGGGCCTGGCAAATAGTAGGCACTTGATCAATGTTTGTTGACTTGACTTCAACATGTTTAAGAAACTCGGTGTTTGATAAAGAGCCACCATTAACTATGTTTTTCATTCTTATTTAAGATGAGAACGTCCCACCAGAAGACATAGAAAAGGTTGCAAATCATGTCCTGGACCTCCACCTCCCAATAACTTTACAAAATCTAACTAAGGGGCTTGATAAAATAGAGTTGCTTACGAAACTCTGTGAGGATGACCATGCAACAACAGAGAGCAGGCTAAAACTAAAAGCCACAGAAGTCCAGAAACTTTTAGCAAAGTCTAAAGAAGCTGAGTAAGTGTTTTGTTTCATAATGTTCTCCCATTGCTCTTAGGGAATCATAGAATTGGCAGCAGAGTTCAGAGGCCCTCAAGTTGAACCTAAATCCTGAAAGTAAATCCCCTCCACAATATCCCCGGCATTGTCTGTTCAAAGATCTCCAGTGACAGGAAATTCACTACCTAACAAGGCACTTTGGGTCACTGCTAATTTGGAGGGAGTTTTTCTGTACAATAAGCTTATATCTGCATCTTTGTGATTTCCACCTATTGCATCGATTTCTGTCCTTTGTAGGTAAGCAAAACAAGACTAATCCATCTTCCACATGATAGACCTCCAAATGTTTGAAAATAAGTATCGTGCTACCCTTTAGACTTCTCTTTTCCAACCTATATATCCCCAGTTTCTCCAACTGACCCTTAAATGGCATGGTTTTTAGCATCCTTCCCCCATCCCCAACATCCAATAAGCAGTTGAAAAAGTGTTGGCCAAAGGGCATCATGAAATTAGAAGTACAGCATCCAGAGCTGCATAACAAATGCCAAATTCTTGAACAAGGTGACTCAGTGTGCCAGGCAATAATAATAAGACAGAGAGCAGGGAAGCTTGTTTCCTGTTTTCATTAATGGCTAGGTTCCTTTCTTATGGTATATTACCTCCTTATACATCGGACTATGAACAATTTAACCAGCTCTGAATTTCCTTTGTCCTTGCTGACTTAGCCAAGCAAAAAGGAACCTCCATCCTGTTGTTTTTATGAGCACGGGAAGCTGTGGCTCACTACACAAGCTCCATCAGGTGATATGGATGGTCACATTATCAATGACAAGATTAAAAGCAAACATTTATTGAGCATCTACTCTATAAATAAACCTTTGTTACAATTTTGTTGGGACTTAATTGAAGATATAACCCCTTTATGTCATATGGTTTATATTAACATAAAAAATTAGTATAATTAGAGATAAAATGAGCAATGAAAAATAGCCAGAAGGGGTTTAGGGAAATTGAACAAAAAGGTCACAGGAAGGACAAAACTTCATGTAGTTCAATGTGTTACACCAAGTAGGCACCTGATAAACTCTTGTTGAGTGAGTGTCTATTGAACTGGTGAAAGAAAATTATTGGAATTTGTACAGGAGGAAATGATAGAGTTTGGGGGAAGAGAGAGGAAATTAATCTGGAAAGAGATCCAGCAACATGGTGAAATAAGGAAATTGTGACATGGGGCTGTCTAGGAAGCCCAAATTGAATTCTGTCTTCACCTAATTTCTCTGTTGTTGTTGTTTATTCCTCTCAGTCATTTCTGACTCTTCGTGACCCCATCTGGAGTTTTCTTGACAGAGATACCAGAGTGGTTTGTCATTTCCTTCTCCAGCTCATTTTACCAATGAGGAAAATGAGACAAGCAGGGTTAAGTGACTTGCCCAGGGTCACACAGCTAGTAAATGTCTGAGGCCAGTTTTGAACTCAAGAAGATAAGTCTTCCTGACTCCAGGCCCAGTGCTCTATCTACTGCACCACCTAGCTGATCTTCTAATTTCCCTAAAATTTCCTTCAAAGATCAGCTCAAGCACTATCTTTGACCTAAAACTTTCCCTGATCCCCAGATGCTAGTGCCCTCCCTCCCAGAATTACCTTATACCATTTGTATATTATGTATGGTGAGGTATAGCCTATGTAAGATTTGTATACCCAGCAGGGTTGTCTAACTGTGGCTCAAAAGAGGTAAACCTGCATGATAGCTGGAAAGCAGGAGCAGGTAAACCTCTCAAGCACCACTAATCTGAGCACTCTTTTATCCAGTCTCCAGTGGGATACTAGACCAAAATTATACCTATCTACACACACACACACACACACACACACACTAAATATTGCTGGTCTTATGGGTACAAAAGGCTCAAAACTAACAAACAAACAAAAATCATCCTCCCTGATCTCTCTTAAGGGCAACGGTTAACCCAAGCTTATACCCACCAGCTTGGCCCCTTGCCACTAATGCTCATTACACAAAAGATCATCACATATAGTGAATAGTGAGTAAACCTATTTATCCAAGCAAATAGAAATTGGAGAATTTATAGAGATTATATTAGAAAATGCACAGAATGGAAGAGCTCTTTGGATGAGAGGGAGATAGGATCTTACATCAACTAAGAAAGAAGCCCTGATCTCATCCAAGAAAAAATTCTCCCAAGTCTGTAGGAAGGCTGGTTAGAAATCAGGAGATATGTCCAGGAACCAACTTCCTGTACTCATCTGCAGCTTCCAAAGTCTGTCTCTCTTGCTGTCTCTACATGCCTGGAGTCAGTCTCCAAGTTAGTCTGATATCACACATGAACTCTCTAGAAGAAGGAATGTCTCTCCTCCCCAAAGCTCTCATATTAATGCTTTAGCTTATTCAGATGCATCATCAAATCAGCATTCTCTCCACCAATTAGGAGTCTTTCATGCAAAATGTTCCAGGTTTGGCTGGAAGCCCAAGCTATGTTTACATACACACACACACACACACACACACACATACATCACATCACATTCCTCATTAGAATGGAAACGTCATAGGGCCAGAACTGTTTCACTTTTGTATCCTCTATATTTAGCATAGTCCCTGGTACTTAATAAATGCTTATTCACTGACTGAATGACAGGAAGCTATGTTTGATTTCTGCACACATATGTATACATATACATACACATACACATACACACATATATTCACATACACACCACCAGCTGCTGTTGCCTGCCCCCAATTCTCAGAATTGCCTTGTGGGTATTGGGTATTTATTTATAAACATATTTGTTGTTTCCCCAATAGAATATAAGTGGGAACTATTTAATTTTTATCTTTCAATCCCTAAAACCTAACACAGTTTCTGGCATATAGCAAGTTGTTAATAAACACTTTTTGACTCTATGATTGATTGAAGGGGCTGGATCTGAAGTTTACCTGATTTTGTCCTGGGTACAGAAATCTCTAGATATGCTAACAAAAAAGTTGTTCTAATTTTCTGCTATTGTTTTATTATATTTCTCCTTCCTGTAACTCTGAATGCTCAGTTCTAAGTATCTCATAAGTGTTGATGTGAGATGAAATCACCGAGAGAGACAGACCGACAGCCAGACAGACTGGTATTGAAATGCTTTTCATTTTAACCTCTGACTGGGTTGCTGAGAGGGTGGAATTTCAGTCAGGCTCAAATAAACCTGAATAAACACAGCTTTAAAAAATTCAGCCTTAAAAAACACACTTTCTCTCTGTGAAACCTCTTGACTCTTCTACCCCCAACCCCCATTCCAGTAAGGATTTGTTAACATTGCTGTTTAAAGCTTTAGAAATTAGGGAACCTGGGTCAGCTGGGTGACGCAGTAGATAGAGTACTGGCCCAAAAGTCAGGAGAACATGAATTCAAATCCGGCCTCAGACACATAACATGACCCTGGGCAAGTCACTTAACCCCAATTGCCTCCCCAAAAGAAAAAAAAGAAAAGAAAAAAAATAAATCAATCCCTAATTTAACAAAAAAAAGAAATCAGGGAACTTGAATCAGTTGATCATATTGCATTTTTATTAGATAGATAGTAATAATAGTTGGCATTTATATAGTATTCCAGTTTATTCTTACTTTTGATCCTCATGACAATCAACCAATCAGTAAGCATTAATTAAGTACCACTTTGTGCCAGGCACTAGGATGAACACTGGAAATAACAAAGACAAAAAATGAAACAATACTTTCTCTCAAGGATTTGCATTCTATTGGGGGAAATGAAATATGTAACGGGACTGTTACAATGTGAATCCAATCCCTAGGAGTGGGCAATGTGCACTGCCTGATATTATCACCCGCATGGATGTTTAGAGCAGCGAGGTGGTGCAGTGGAAAGGGCACCAAGCCTCTTCATGAGTTCAAATCTGGCTTCAGATAATTATTAGCTGTGTGACCCTGGGCAAGTCACTTAACCCCATTTGCCTCATTTTCCTCTTCTGTAAAATGAAATATAGAAGGAGGTGGCAAACCACTCCACTATCTTTGCCCAGAAAACCCCAAATAGGATCACAAAGAGTTTGAAATGACTGAACAATACATGGATATTTGGTGAGCCTATTTCTGGGCATATGTAATGGAAGTCCCTGCTCTCCACTTCAGAGCAAGTGCAAATGTTTTATGACGGATTCCTGCCACTGGCCCACAGCAGTTCATCCTTCTCACTTACACACACAGCCAGGGAGGAAAGATCAATTTGGCTAATTAGTGTCTTTTGCATACATACCTTGTTCCAACTCAGCTGCCAATCAAAAGACTCCTATCACCACATAGTAAGAGAACAGGAAGCAATTCTATACAGGCTGGTTCAACATCCCCCGTGGGAGACTGAATCAGAAAGTATACACTGCCCATTTTAATAATTTGGAGCAACGAGTGGGGAACTGAATGTAGGACTCTGTCAGCATTGGGAACTCACAGTGAAGAAACTCCCTCTGCCAATGAAAATTAGTAACAGTTCTGCCACTTAGGGTATTAGAGAATCACCTTGTGGGGTGGGGAGAGGCGCTGCAAAGTTAAGTGACTTGCCCAGGGTCACACAGCCAGTCGGGGTCAGAGGAAGTACTTGAATCATCTTTCTAATTATGAGGCCAGCTCTCTATCCACTATGTCCTGCTGCTTCTATTAAAAAATAATACAAAATAAATGAAAGGGTATTTTGGAGGTGTAGGCAGGCACTAGAACCTGCGGTATGTATGGATTGGGGATGGGGGAGATATTTCCATTTTATGAATGAGAAAAATGAGGCAATTACATATGCCTTTCCAAATTCTTGACATATGACAGATTAAATAAAAATGAGACATGTATCCCTAATTTCTATTCACATGTATATTTACATACGAACACGCTTTGTTTTGTTTGGGGTCTGTTATTTCATTGGTATAGGGAGCTCCCCATGAGGAAACACCCTCCACCAATGCAGAACAGAACCTGTTCTGCAAGTTCTAGTCTTAAAGTAATGTGGGGCCTGAGAAATTAAAGAATTCATCTAGGGTCACAAGCCAGTATATGTTAGAATCAGCATCTGAACCCAGAGGCAGCAAGGTGGTCGGGTGGACAGAGCTCTAGGTCCAGAGTCAGGATGAACTGAGCTCAAATCTGGTCTCAGACACTTAGTTGCTGTGTGATCCTGGGCAAGTCACTTAACTTCTGTCTCCTTTAGTTTCCTTAACTAAAAAATGGGGATAATGCTTGCATCTACCTCTTAGGGTTGTTGTGACAATCAAATGAGATACTACTTGTAATGTGCTTTAGTACAGTGCCTGGCACACAGTAGATGCATAATAAATGTCGATTCCCTTCTCCTTCTTGTCTCCTGACAACGGGGCCAATTCTCTATCCATAATACCATATTGCCTCTCATATTCATACTGTACATATATTGCATGTATGCCACGTGCTCTGATGTACATGTGTGTGCATGTATCTAGGTTTTGTCATATACATTCAGCTTTCAAAACACACACACACTTTTAGCATTTTCCTTTGCTTGAGAATAATCTAAATTTACTTTATACCCAATTCTATCATCTTTTTGGTTAAATGGAATGGAATCAGAATGAATCAAAATACTGGCGTTTTAGATTCACTTAAATCCGATGTGTTATTCTCTTATTTTAGGGAAGCAGTAAACACCCTACTAAACCTGGAAGAAATGCTGAAAAACTTGCAACATGCTGAAAGCGTCCAAGGGCAAGCAAACTCTACTATTAAAAAGCTGACTGATGAGATACAAAAAATTGAAATGACCATATTGAAGGTAGTTTGCATCTAATTTGAAACTGTCCTGAATTTTCCTGTAGGATGGTAATGTGAATAGAATGCAAAGACAATGCCTACTAGTTATTCTCTAGATAGATACACACACACACACACACACACACACACACACAGCACTTTAAAATACCAGTGATCATATCTGTCCCACCTACTTCACAGAATTGATCTGTGGATCGAAAGAGATAATGATATGTTGAGTTTATGTAGGCTTTTATAGTTTACAAAGCACTTTCCCATATGCTATTTCACTTGATAGTCACAGTACTAGAAGGCGGGTCTAGCTCTTACTATAATTGTGTTTTACAAATAGGGAAATTTAATTCCCGGTTGGATAAAATGATCACTGGATCAGGCTAGTACCTCATCATCACTTGACTAATACAGTAGGTGGTGAATCCTTTGGCCACGGTAACCCTTGAAACTCTAGAAAAATTAAAAATGTCTCTTGTTCCTCTGTGGTCTTTTTTTACTTCTGCAGTAATAGTATCAGCATGGCAGGGAAAGGAAAAGAGACTGAGTGTGCAGGATCACAGTTTTAAACTATTTGCACACATTAATTTAATAGTAATATGAATGTGAGACCCTAGCCCAATGGCCAACAAATAGAGATGCTACTGAAGTTGTTGAATCCTATCCATCTTGCCAGGCAGCATAGGACAGTGGAAAAAGAACACTGACTCTGGAGTCAGAGGGCCTAGGTTCAAATCCAACTCTATATTTATGGCCTGTCTAGCCTTGGGCAAGTCTCTTTGCCTCCTACACCTCAGTTTCTCACCTGTAAAATAAAAGGGTTGGACTTAATGGATTCAGAGGTCTAGCTCTAGACTTGTGATTTAATGATCTCACTCTCACTAGCGTTAAGGGAGATTTTCTTGTAGGAGGTAGACTTTTGCTGAAATTTGAAGGAAGCCACAGAAACCAAGAGATGGAGATGGGGAGGGAGAGAATTTCAAGCATGGGAACAACAAGTGAAAGATGCCCAAAGGCAAGAGATGGAGTATCTAGTCTGAGCAATAGAAAGGAGATTGGTGTCACTGGAACAAGCACAAAAATATGGCAGCTAACAACACCACGTTAGAGCACGTGCTTAAGTGCAAAACCTTATAGAGGATGAAGGTTTAAGATGATAAGAAACACTTATCAAAGGTGTTTGCCAGTATCATGGAGGATGTCCAGCAGAGGCAAATAAAAGAGAGATATTCTTTTAATATTGAATTAATCCAGATGTTCCTTTTTAAAAGATGACATTGGGTTAATTGCATCAAACCCACAACACTACAAAGTCTCCTAAATGAGAACCACAACCACTCAAAACAGTTTGGCTTAAGAATACACTTAGGAAAAACCAGGAGAATAAAGGATGCTTATTGTCCACACTAGCATATGAAATTAGCAGCTAGGAGGTGAAGTGGATCGAGTGCTGAACCTGGAGTCAGGGAGAGTCAAATCTGTTCAAATCTGGCCACAGACACTTACTAGCTGTATGACCTTGGGTGAGTCATATAACCTCTTTCTATCTCCATTTCTTCATCTGTAAAATGGGAATAATAGCACCTACTTCACAGGGTTGCTGTGAAGTTCAAATGAGATATAATTTGTAAAGCATTTTGCAAACCTTAAAACACCATATAAATTGTAGCTATTGTTTTATTATTAAATAGGTATATATTGATACATATATTTTGTATAGACACCACAGATTGATAATGAGGTATGTCTGGAATTGTATCAGGTTAATCAATCAGTAGGCATGTATTAAGTGTCTAATACGAATCAGACACCTTGCAAGATGGTAGGGATAAGAAGATACAAATGAAATAGCCCCTACCCTAAAGGAGTTTTGATTCTGTCAGGGAAGACAATATATACACATATAACTATATCAGGAATGCACATGAGGCTGGATTTCATTTATGAAATTTCCCAGAACTTTTAACAATCTCAAACTTCTTTTTAAAAGAAAAAAATCAGTCTTTTTCTTTTTTAAACACCAGTATTCTTCCAGTGATGCTGTATGGCTGTAAATCATGGAATGCCATACTTGGAAGAGTCAAAGTCTCAGGTTGCCCAAAGGGCCATGTAAAGATACAAAGGGGCTGTCAGTGGCTATTATACATTACCAATGATGGCTTCTACATGAGAAGTAATGTAAAAATATCCCCCAAGATGGGTATCACTGGAAAAGGAGATGGGTCAGTCATGTAGCAAAAACAAAGAATAACTAATGGAAACTCTGGGTGTTGCAGTTATACTCAGGTAATGTGAAAAGATTTAGAGGAAGGATTCCATTACATTATGCTGGTCCTCTACAGAGGATTTTTGGGAAAACATGAACAAGAATTATACAAAATAAAAAAAGTTTCTTGGATTATGATCTACACCAGTAGACGGAGTACCCATAATGACGGGATCCGAGAGCCAATGAAATATGCAGTATTGCCAATTGACCAAAGGTATTTGTGTTGTTAGAAAAGTCAATAGTCAATAAGTCATAGTGGATAAAGATTTATTAAGCACCTACTATGTGCCTTGCACTTTGCTAAGCACTAGAGAGACAAATACAAAAAAGAAAGACAATCCCTCCCCTCAATGAGCTTAGAATCTAATGGAGGAAGACAATACATAAGAAAAAGCGGAAAAATGGTCAAGGGAAAGCTCCCTCACAAAAGGACGTGGGGCAAAAGCCAAAGAAGTCCAAAAATAAGTGCAGCTGGGTGGAAAACGAGGCGATGCCTGAGGGAAAAGTATCTATTTTACATATTTCACCCATGTTTTTTTTTCCAAGTTTCCACCTTGGAATATTTTGACCTTATCAGATTAATCCTGGGTTATTGCTCTGATCCTAATTTCATTAAGATGGTAAAGGGCCTTGAGATTGTGCTATGTGAGGACTGGTTAAAGACAGTGAGGATGTTTAGCCCAGAGAAGATGAGACTTACTAGGAACCAACTAGCTATCTTGAATTATGTGAATGCCACTGACGCAAAGGCTCGTTCAGCATGACCCCAGGACACATAACTAGAAGCCGTGGGTAGAAGTTGCCAAGAGGCAGATTAGATTCCAGAGGATCAGATCGAAGCCAAAGTGCCTTAGGGAGTAGTGGGCATTTCCTAATCCGCCCTAACTAGAGATCCTACTTGTCAGCTACATTGTAGAGGGGCTTCTTTAGGTTCAAGTTAGACTAGAACCCTCTGAGGCCCCTTCCAACTCTGTGACTTTGTGATACCAAGTGTTTTTCTTTATTGCACAGGTTGCCAAGGCCAAGGAATTCTTCATAAGGAGGCCAGGCTACTTCAGATGAGCTTTGTGTGTATTAGACTGGTCCTTGGAAATCAGATACTGTTTGTACTCAGTCGACAAAAAATCAAATGCAAAGTGGGAAAAGATGAAAATGCCATATTAATTCGTTCTATATCATCTCTGGGGCCGCTAGGTGTAGCAATGGATAGAGTGCTGGGCCTGGAGTCATGAAGATTTATCTTCCTGAGTTCAAATCTAGCCTCAGACACTTACTCAGCTGTGTGACTCTGAGCAAGTCATTTAACTCCTGTTTACCTCAGCTTCCTCATCTGTAAAATGAGCTGGAGAAGGAAGTGGCAAACCAATCCAGTATCTTTGCCAAGAAAACCCTAAATGGGGGTCACAGGACCTCAGTTCAAATCCCGACTAATACCTACTAGGTGACCTTAAACAATTCACTCAACCTCTCTGGACCTCAGTTTCCTCATTTGCAAAATGAGGGATTTGGACTAGATAACGAATAAAGTACCCTCCGCTTTTAGATCTCTGACCCTATTATCTCCACCTGGAGGCAGATCTTTTGGGGTACACTGTAGGGCTCTGCTCTTAATGATGCACAAAATTATTTTACACTAAAATGGTTTACTCATACTTGAAAGATTTAGGAACCAGGGCAATAGGCTTGTTGCCTCAGATCCCACTTGTTTCACATGGCACGAATGGAGTTTTGCCTTTTTAATCTTTCCCAAAAAAACAGGCTGAAAACTTCACCAATAAGACTGATGATGAATTGGAACACATAGCAAGCCAACAGTCTACACTGGAAGATGAAATCTCTACCCTGCAAACCAAGATACAAAGGACACGAGACAGTGCCATCAGTGCAAAAGCCCAGGCAGAATCAGCCCAGGGTCAAGCTCACATCACTGAGAAGGTTAGTTTTAGTCCTTCAAGAGCTAATCAAGAGAAAAGGAGCAGTTTCCTATTAAATAACATCTTACTGACACATTGACAAGTGGCCTGGCATATCATAAGTGTTTAATGAATGTTTACTAGTGACTACTTGCTCTGCATCTTTAATCCCAGATTTTTCCCTGATGTTTTATTAACCTATACTTTAGGACTATCAGTATTGTTAAATTTTAGGACCGGTGTCTGCAGCCAAACTGTATGTGCCCACCTGACCCTCAGAGGGGTGTGTGTGTGTGTGTGTGTGTGTGTGTGTGTGTGTGTGTGTGTGTGCATAGGGGGGAATTAAAAGAGAGAGTGGGAACAGCAGAAATGAGGAAAAGGTTGGTACTCAGAAGCACTTTGTAGAAGGCAGGATCCTCCAGATAAATCCCATCAGGGTCCTTCCTCTGGCCCCCATCCTGAAAGGAAGAAAGGAAATAAGCATCTATTAAGTACCTACTATGTGCCAGGTACCATTCTAAGTGCTTTACAAATATCTCACTTGACCCCTGAATTTCATCCTTGACCTGGAGCCACCAGTCCTCCTGATATTTTGGAACATGTCCTTTACATACAGTCCCTATTTCAAACCCCTTTTGAGCTTCCAAATTCGAATGAATGTCTTCATTTAGGTAACATTCCATTTTATACATTCATTTATGTTTCAAAATAAAATCCCAAAATCTCACCTTGGACACTGTTCTAATATAGTTACAGTGCTCAGCCTGTGGTAGGCACTTAACAAATGTTTATTGACTGGCTGACATGATGCAGAAACAAAGCAGCAAGGGAGACAATCGCATGTCCAAGAGATGCAGATCTAGACATGAAATCAGAGGTAGAATTACTGTTTAATTAAGCAGATGCGGACAATCAGCCATTAAAATGGGTTTTGGCGGGTTGAGTGACCCAGGAAAGCCATTCCTTACAGGAGCCAATTTCCTTAAAAGCCTATTTTCTCATCTTTGTATTATTTCATTTTCTTCAGAGACAATCATCACCATGTAACATAGATCTTTTAACCCACATTTTTTTTAATGTGAAATTCTGAGTTGTAGCTGCTAGCTTAAAGTTCCTGATGCACCAGGTAAACTTTTTTTCTGACTTCAAGATAATTTCTAAGATTTTCTGTGAAAATAGAAAGGCTCAGAAATGGAAGTTCTTCTCCCTCTGTCTTTGTTCAATCCATTCATTGAACAACTATTAATTGATGCTTTCTGTGTGCATGGCACTGTACTAGAGCGCCTAGGTTGGTACAGTAGATAGAGTGCCGGGCCTGGAGTCAGAAAGATTCATCTTCCTAAGTTCAAGTTTGGCCTCAGACACTTATTACCTGTATGACCCTGGGCAAGTTACTTAATCCTCTTTGCCTCAGTTTCCTCAACTGTAAAATGAACTGGAGAAGGAAATGGCAAACCGCTCCAGTGTCTTTGCCAAGAAAACCCCAAAGAGCCAGTCATGACTAAAAAACAATTGAACAACAAAATAAAAGCACTGTACTAGATCTTATCATCTTAGATCTGGAACTGGGAGCTGCCTTAGAGGCCACTGAATCCAACTCCCTCATTTTACAGTTGAGGAAACTGAGGCTCAGGGAGATTAAGTCATCACACAGGTAGTAGCAAAGGCAAGATTTGAATCCAGGTCTTCTGACTCTAGATCCAGTTTTCTTTTCCCTGGGTAGTTTTCTCATCTGTCAGGTGATTCTAATAATATGTGCCCTGAATACCTAACAGAGGTGCTATGAGAAGGCAAGAAGATAATGTATATGAAAACACCTCTTATACAGTAAAACATCACAGAAATGAAAAATGTTGTTAATAAAATATTATCAATATCATTATTGATAGGAAAATAGAAGTAAAAGATACAGCTGCTCCCAAAGAGATTGTATTTGAGTTGCACAAGCAAAATATAGAGAATAATAGCTCCCGTTTATATAATGCTTTAGCGTTTACATAGCACTTTGCTCACAACAAACCTGTGAGGCAGATAATACATGTATGACTGTGCTTGTTTTAGAGAGGAGGAAACCGCGGGTCAAAGAGGTAAAATAACTGTCCCATAGTCACACGTTTGGTAGGTGCTATAGCAAGGATTCCAACTCCTTTTTCACCATCACACTGCCTCTCTCTCTATAGGGTGTCTTCACTTAACCCTACTACCTCTTCCATCTATCATCTTCTAGCATTATAATGGAGAGAGCACCCATTGGCCATAAGGAAGAAATCCAAGACCTGGCCCTGTTGCTAACCATATATCTATTTCTCTGAACCTCACTTTCTTCATCTGTAAGACCTGAATTACTGGGGTCACAAAGAGTTGGACACAACTGAAATAACTGAACAACCACCACCTTTGTTACAGGGTTATTTCAGGGAAAGTATTTTGTAAATCATTAGATGTGTAAGTAAGCCAACATTGTTTATTATTCTTATTATTCCCTTCCTTTCAGCCGAACTCCTCAGCTTAATGATCTATAGCCCCTGGCTCTATTTCCTCACCTACTGTTCCCTCTTAAATCCTTTCGTTCTAAGTTTCATACCCCTTACCCTCCACTTCAACTGCTATCTCAGAGGTTACCTATCTTGTCTTCTGTCAGTCTTCATTGTCTTCAAAAGTTTTGTCATATTTATCACTACTATAGGCCCTCTTTTCCTTTCCTCCCTGCTTTTCAAAGTTCTTTTTGCCCTTGGCTTCCTTTACAATACATTCTACTAGTCCTTCTCCTCTGATTATTCCTGCTTCCTTTACTGACTCCCTTTCTTTATTCTTCCTTTCAACAAAGGGTATTCCCCAAAGTCTCCTACATCAGCTGACTTCCTCTTGACTCTCCTCCTAACCCCTCCTATAGTCAGAATGATTGTTCAAGAAAGATTGCTCATTCCCACTTCTGTCTAGGAGAATTTCCTGCTTTCTTTCCAAAAGACCAAATCCTAGACTTTTTCAAATCTCAGCTTAAGTCACCCAAAGCCTTCTCTGACTACTTCACATTGATCTATCCCTTCTCTGAGTTCCTACAGAGCTTGTGTGTGCAACACATTTTAACAAATGATTCAGTTAAATAAATATTAAGTACCAGACATGGTGCTCAGACCTAGGGATACAAAAACCAGAAATGACTCAAGAAACTAACATTTTACTGGGGCAGGGGAGGACTACAGGATGCTTGTCTTCAGAAAGACGCATACATACAAGATGATTTGAAAAGATTGAGAGCATCAGATAAAATTTAAGGGAGTTAAAAAGGAAGGGAAGGGAGGAGGAAGTGAATCCCAGGCATGGGGAACAGGTTCTCCAAAGGCACAGAGATAAGAGATGGAATACAGATGGAGTTCCAGACACAGCATTAGGTCGGCTTGATTATAGGATCGCAGTGTCATAGATTTAGAGTTGAAAGGAACCTTGGAGTCATAGAGTTGAACTCCCTTGCTTTACAGAAACTAAAGCCAAGAGAGGGTAAATGGCCTGCCCAGAGTCACACAGCTAATAAGTATCTGAGGTGGAGTTCAAACCTACCTCATCGTGACTCCAAATCCAGCACTGTATCCACTATCCCATGCTGTCTTTCATACTGTCCTACCTTTTATGTATGGAATACCAGACTAGATTATAAACTCTAAGAAAACATCCATCCTTAATTCAAATAGGTAGCTGGGTGGCACAGTGGATAGAGCACTGGACCTAGAGTCAAGCAGAACCAAGTTCAGATTTAGCTATGTCACCCTGGGCAAATCATTTCACCTAGGTCTGCCTCAGTTTCTTTATTTAGTAAAATGGGAGCTAATAATAGCACCTATATCCCAGAATTGTTATGAGGATCAAATGAAATAATATTTGTAACCTGCTTTGCAAACTATAAAGTAGGTCCTAGTTATTGACTATAAAATATTTTCTATGCACTATCTTATTTTATTGTTACAATAATCTTATAAGGTAGGTAGTACAAGTAAATTCATTTTACAAATAAGGAAACTGAACCATACAGTAGTTAAGTGAATTGCCCAAGATAACTCAGCTAGTATATACTAGGACATATGTCTTCTGACTCCAAATCCAGGGTTCTTTCCATGGTATCACAGATGACTCATGTAAGGGTAGTTCAAATATCACATTAATTAGAGTATTGTTTCCCTTGTGTCTACTTTCAAATCATAGCAAAAGGATGGTTAATAAATACTACATGATGATGACTGATGGTGGTCTTTACTCTGTTACAGGATCTCATCGACCTAAAAAAACAATTTACAGTTCTTCAAGATAAGACAAACTCTAAAGGATTTGTGAAGGGAACACTCAGTAAAGTAAAACAGCTAAAAGAAGAAGCAGAAAAATTGGTTGGGGAGACAAAGGAAAAAATGCAACGAATAAAAGGTAGCCATACTCCATTAATATATACACATAACTTAGTTCTTTCTTTGACAATGGACAAAGTATGAATAAAACCATAGTAACAAATCTCTGTAATGCATGGAACATATTCCTGTGACTTTTTAAGCCATTGATTCATTCAATAATCATTTATGGAATTCTTCTCATCTACAAGGCATCCTGCCAGACACTGATGGAGATAAATGATGAATAAGATACAACCTCTGTGGTTAAGGAGTTTACAACCTAATAGGGGAGATGAGATACTTACACAAACAACTATACTACAAAGTAAAGCAGGATACCAGCAGGAGAGGTATAAACAGAGTGTTTTGAGAGTCCAGTCTCTATGCCTTTGGACAGGTTGACCCTCATGCCTGGAATTTGTACTTGTACTTATAATATATATATACTATATTATACTATATTTACAATATATATCATATAATATACTTTACTTGTACTGTAACACTTTATTTATGCTTCCTCCTCACCTCTATCACTTAGAAATCTCTAGTTTTCTTCAAGACTCAACTCAGGTACCACCTTCTCCATGAAGCCTTATCTGATCTGCTCCCTGCTGCTAATGTCCCTCCAATAAATTACTTCATATTTATTTTTATATTTTATGTGTACATTTGTATTTGAGGAGAGTTGGTCCATGACTCCCTAGGTTGATCCTTATCCCAGATGATAAAATTACAGAAAAGGTAAGATTGTAACAGAAAGATAAAGTGTTGATGTGGGTTTATTTTGTGTGTATGTGTGTGTCAGGAGCTTAAATGTTCTATCACCGCTATATAAAATGTTAAAGAGTTGTTATTGTTGGAATTAGAGGGATAGCTTGCCAAAGATTGCTCATGCTCCTGGTAGCTCTTAAAAAGCCAACCTTGATAGTCATGAGAGACTGTTGAGGTGGGAAACAGGTTTGTGAAGTGACCCTGTCAGAGAGAGGGAGAGAGAGAGTGTGTTGGGGTAGGAAGTAGTTCTTCAAGGAGCACCCCTGGGAGTAGAGAAAAGAGCCAATCATGGACTCAAGGGGGAATTAGTCTTGGCAGTTGGAATTGATCTGTGGAGAAGAATGAGCCAAGGGAACCCAGATGATTAATCCACCCAGCAGAAGTTAGCTTTGTAAGAACACAAGGAGAAGAGAAAGAGCAGATCCCTACCATGACAAACACATGAGCTGCCTTACCCACTAGTATTCTCTACATGTATGACTCATTACCAGTGTACTGTAAGTTTGTACTCACTCTTCTCACTGATACTCTTTGTATTTGTGGGAGAATGTACCCCAAGTTTTTAGGGAGAATATTCTATATCTCTTATTCTTAATATGGCAACTTATTAAATGGCTTTGCTTTGAGCTAATTGTGTCTAATTTGAGCTAATTGTGGCTGACCATTCAAATAAGCATTCTGGTGGGGCTTGTGGTTTATAGTTTTAGGACTCACAGATTAACTTGAACCTATGATAGTAGCCTCTACCTGGAGACTTATGGGTGCCATGATGTTGGGGTGATAACCCAAAAAGGATATCATACCTTATTATGTACATTGTTTCCCCCTATAGAACATAAGTTTCTAGAGAGCAGGGATTGTTTCATTTTTGTCTTAGTATCCCAGGGCCTAGCATAGTGTTTGGCATATAATAAGTGCTTTAAATTTATTTGTCTCCCCACCCCCTCCCAGTACATGATGTACACCATTGGTTTCTGAACAATCTTGTTGATATAATTAGAGTTGTACATTAGGAAACTGACAGCAATGTGTAGGATGGATCGGATAGGGGAGAGATGGGAAACAGAGAGGGCAGTTAGGAGACTAATGAGATATTTGAAACGAGAACTATTGCATTCCAGGACTTTGGTGGTAGCAGTGGGAATGGAAAAAATGAGTCACTACAGACACAGAATCAATAGGACTAGATAATATGTTGGACATGGGAAGTAAAAGGAAAAAGGAATCAAAGAGATTCCAAAGTGCTGAACATTGGTAGCTAGAGAGATGATCTCTAATAAATATAGGGAGTCATTCACATAGAAGTAACAATTCAAACTTGGGGTACTGGAGATTACCAAGGGAAAGAAGGCTAGAGAATGAAGGAGTAGAGAGAATAAGTGGGAAAAATCCAACATTTGGGGCAGGAATAAGAAGAAAAGCTAGTGAAGGAGACAAATAAATGTTGAGAGAAGTAGAAGAAAAACCAAGGGAATGACCAAGGAACCAAGGAACAAAAAAGTATCAAGAGGGAGAGAGTGGCTAAATAATGGTCAAGGAGGATGAGGCCTGAGAATGATGAGGTCATTGATTGCGGCATTTAGGCAATGGTGACCTTGGAGAAAACAATTTCAATAGACTGCTTAGGACACAGGCCGGATTGGAAGAAGTCACTCTTTCTAGAATTTGACTGGGTAAGAAAGGAAGCAAAAGAGGCAATGGTTTGAGGAAGTACCCATGCAGAAGTCACACTCCCTCAAGTCACCATCTCTTGTATGAAAACAAAAGTTTCATCCCAAGGTGTCTGTGAGGATTTTTACACTTGGGGAGCTCAGAGCAAAATCCTCATTTTAGGAACTTGGTTATCAAGAGATTAACATCAATCAGGTTTTTCTTGGGCATATCCTCTACACAAACAACCAGAAAGCTGTCAGTGCTCAAGATAGGGGGATCAAGAAATGAGTATATATTTAGTACTAGAAGGGACATTATAGGCTATCAATTCTAATTCCCTCATTTTGCAGATGAGGCTCAGAGAGTTTGAGTGATTTCCTCAGGGCCATACAGCAAGTAACCATCTAAGGTGGGATTCAAATCTATCCACAATGCCATGTTGCTTCTCAAATAAAATGATTTAAGCCTTTCTCCTAAAGATTCTAAAGCTATTCCACTTAAAGTATTATGACTACAATATACCATCCCACTGATTTTTGCTTTTTCTCCCACTTGGAGCACTGAAAGGGTGACTAATGGTACACTTACAATAGGGTAGAGCAACTGTCCACTCAACCTCATCAATAAGAGAGGCTTAAATCACACATGCCTGGCTCTACCTCTGCTTGTTAGAAAGAGATGCCTGTATAAGCCAAGTTGGTAAAAGACTGAAAGAAAGATTGTATATACATTAAAATATTCCTAGCAGTACTTTTTGCTGTTGCAAAGAATAGGGAAATGGCTAAACAAATTGTGGTTCATGAATGTAATGGATCATTGCTCCATAAGAAATGATGAATATCAAGAACTTAGAGAAGCATGGGAAGACAGGTGAACTGATGCAGAGGAAAGCAAGCAGAACTAGGAAAAACACACACGATGAATACAACAGTATAAGTAGAAAGAACCAAAATAAAACAGAACCTGGAGACTATATCTTTATTTTGACTAAGCTTGACCCCAGAGAAAATATAAGAAATACACCACCCTCTCTTTTTTTTTCCTAAAAGTGGAAATGTGGAACATTACATATGTTGTCAGACATGATGTATTATTTTGCTGAACTGCTTTCTCTTTTATATTCTTTGTTGCAAGGAATAGCTTATTGGATAGAAGGAAAGATACATTCATAAATGTAGGTGATATAAAAACAAGAGATATAAACATTTTAAATTTGAATAAAAAAGAGATATCATTAGAACCCTAGGAAGGGAAACTTGAAGTGCTGAATTTGAATGTGTAGAGTTGGAATGCGCAACAAGTACACAAATCAGAATCAATCAATGGATCTCAAAAACTTAAGCCATACATCTCTCTTCTGTTGCAACTACCAAGCTTCTCAACCCAAACTCCACCCAAACACCAACAGCGTACTTTACCCTCTCCCACTAGAGTCATACCCTCCTCCTCTGATGAATCCCCCTCTCTTATGTTTCCAGGGATTTCCCATAGAAAAGAGAGAATAACCAGTAACAGAAAAGCACTCCATTCAGGCACTTGACTGTCTAATTTGGTCCTAGAAGCACACATGTCCCCTCCCTATTACACACACACACACACACACACACACACACACACACACACACACACACACATATCCAAAGGATTAAGGGAATGAAGATCCAAATACATAGACAAAAATGAGCAGAAATCCACTGAGTAGAAAATAAATTAACTAGAATAAATAAAAATAACTAGAACAAACCTTGAAAATATTTGTCATGCTGTCCTAGCTACTCACTGTAATCCAGAGTCATCACCTGTTTTCATTTCCAACTTTTTTCCAACAACAGAAAATATATTAGGCTCTAAATGATTAATGTCCCTGTAGAGATTTTATTATCTGAGGCCAAAAAGCTTCAATGTCATTAAAACATTTGCTCCAATTTGCATGATATCCTTGAAAATTTTAATTAAAAAGATTAGATTAGATTACATGGCAAAAACAATTGTGTCATTAAGAAGTATGTAAATCCCCACCCCGGCAAAAATGTGGAAGCTGAGGGGAACTTTTTTTTTTCAAATACGTAGTTTCATTTCGGTTTTTTTTTTCTTTCAGATTTAGAAAAGAAGATCCGGGTCTTAAATCAAACCAAGCAAGAGAAAGTCAATCAACTAAAGCAACTAGAAAATCATGTTATAGCCATTAAAAATGAAATTGCCGAACAAGAAAATAAATATGCTACCTGCCACATCTAGGCCATTTTAGAGGGTTAGAGTTGCCTCCTTATATTCTGGCTGCTGATTAAAGCCCCCTGCTTAGAATTATAAAGTCCTGGAAATTGGAATGGCTCTCAGAAGTCATTTGTACAACTCCTCCCCAAAGCAAGAATTTCCATTTACAACAGCCACCAGAAATCGAGATCAGAAAAGCTATTGCGATGTCAGGTAAGCAGGGCTGGAGCTGTCTCTGTAACATCAGTCTGTCTGTAGTTTCCCCACCCTCTGTACTGCTATTTCTTGGTATTGAAGTAGACAGAGGAATTAGAGCCAGGAAAATGTCACTTTTTCTGAAAATAAGAAAGGACAAACAAAAGGTTTTCAAGCATCTTTTTCCTCTTGACATTTTTCTCTTCTGTTAGTTTAAAAGGAGGAGGTGGGGCAGAAATTAGGTATGCAAAACAATTCTATTTAAATAAGCATAGATTCAGGCTTATGCTGTTTCTGGTAAATGAACTTTAATTTTTATTGAATTACTATATTCTGGATGGAATCAATATTCCATATATAATTACCAAGAATGTAATAGATTTCCTGTTAATTTCTGTTTTGAGTTTATTGTTCACATTTATTCTAACAAATGCAGGGTGTCTAAATAAAATGTTTGTGACTTAAACAGGGTGACTTACTTTCACAATGCCTTTTATACACAATCATTCTATCAACTAAAGAATTCTTATGTGGTTCCCCCATACACACACACTTTCAGCTCCATGCAGTGATATTAAGGAAATTGATCTTATGCTTATCTACTAATCAGAATGTGTTTGCATGTAGCATTGCCATAAATCTTGGCAATGATAACATCTGTAGACTTGCAATCATGTTAATATTATTTATTATAGAAGATCAGATTGTCTCATTTTAAACGCAGACTGTGGTTAAACATTTATTATGGTTCCACTTACTAATGCAATTTAACTTAATTTGCTTACACTATTTGGAAAACATCATATTTTACTTACATTATTTGTAAAGTTATCCTTTTGCTGAATTATGCTTTATGGACCTGATCCCATATTCTCAAATGAAGAACATTATATACAGACATAAGCATATGGAAGACAAGGAACAGCTGGACTCCATCTCTACTGTGGGTGGAGTTAGAGGATATCCATTTAAAATGCAACATGGTTAGATACAAAGAAAAAATTCCTTACAGTGAATGTAGCTTAAGGAAACAGAGAACCAACTTCCCTTGAGATCCTGAATAAAATGAAAATATATAAATTTCCTAGGGAAACTTCTCTGAGAGTCTGTTGTAACAGTACCCCACTATCAGCAGTCAAAATTCCAGGAACTTCAAACATCTGGAACCTAGCAATTAACCTGGAAGTAAACAAAAATGGTCTCTGAGTGGTTTGGAAAAGAGCTGTCTCAAAACCCGCAACTTTACTCTGCAGGAGAGGCATGGAACCAAGCTGCCAACATTCTTAGAACCATGAAAAAAAAGTTAGCACTACCTACTTAGTAAGTGTGGTTATCCGGCTTCCCTGGCAAGGTTCATCTTCTCTTGGATTGCAGCTGCACATTTCAGCAGATTAGAAGCATCTGGGAAGAGAGAACTGGCTGCCCCAAACCAATGCACCAAGAGGTGACAACTGATAATGAGAGATGACATAGAATAATATCAACTGACATTTTTGTAATGTCTTAAAGTTTGCAAAGTTCTTTCCTTCTGTTACCCTCATCTGATTCTCACAACAGTCCTGTGAAGGAGGTGCCTCAGATACTGTTTTCATGTTCCCATTTTACAGATGAGGAAACTGAAACTGAGAGAGGCTAACAGCTATTATATGTCAGAGATTGGATTCAGAACCTCATAAATGCAGGTCCACACCCCAGTATCTGCAACGTTTGACTGCCTCTCAAGAATCACTAGGTACTAGGTGTCCACTAAAATTCAGTCAAAGGACAAACTAAGCTTTATTGTACTATTTAGCACCCTCTATATTATGCTTTTATGTCATATAGTAACTGATATTCATAATAAATATCCAGAAAAGTTTAAATTATTGTATTTCAGTATCCTCTGTTTATTAAGGCAGGGAGATGTGAAATGCATTTTAGAAAAGTTTGCATCAAAAATGGTTACACTTTTTAAATATTCAGGCTTAAAATTATTAAAAATTTAATTATTTGGAAAAATCCATTTTTGTGGAAGCCATCATTCTCTGACACCACATAAACATTTGCTGTTATTGTTATTGCAGTCGTGATCAATAAACAAAAAAGAAACAAAGAGATCATATGTTCAGAGACATATGGTAGCCAGTGAGAGACAGTCAGCATCTCCCCCTCCCCTGCCCCGAAGCTCCCAGCAGCTCTTACTTGTAGTCAGGAAGGAAAAGCACAAAAGGACCAAGGAGGGCTTAATCATTGTTAATGCAAATTCAGTTCTAGCCCAGTGCCTCCTTGGTCACTGGCTCCTCCAGCTCTTCAGTCAACCAGAGGTTTGCTTGTCACCATGCAAGATCAGCCCCTCTATCCCAGAGGGCCAAAAGCAGGCTCACCAGTCAAGGAACATTGCCTATGCTCTGTATAAGGCACCAGGAAGGGCAAGCCCAAGCCTGCTATAATAACTAGGCCCTCCTTTGCCAGTGTCCCCCTTCCCCTTTCGCTGAGCAGGTAGTCTGGAACCCAGAGAGTATAAGATTTATTGTCCCCATGTATTTTTAATGTCTCAGTGGAGTGCCTGGCCTAGAGTCAGGATTGTTGTTGTTGTTCACCATTTCTTCTCAAAGAGGACCAGTGATATCACAAGGCTGATGTCTTGACTTGTAAGTGGATTGGATTTAAGTGAGGCAGAGCGGTACAAAGTCATCAACCTCACTCTCTCCTCCAGGGTCATTGGAGTCCAGTGGCAAGAAAAAAGTCAAAGTGACTGGCAATAGACCTGGAGTTAGGAAGATTCATCTTCCTGAGTTCAAATCTGGCCTCACACTAGCTAGCTGTATGGCCCTGAGCAAGTCACTTAACTCTGCCTCAGTTCCTCATCTGTAAAATGACCTTGCAAAGGAAAGGACAAACCATTCCAGTATCTTTGCCCAGAAATCCCCAAATGGGGTCATGAAGAGTTGGACACAACTGAAAACAACTGAACAACAAAAAATTTTAATGTGCAATAGGTATTACCAGACAGCATAGAACTCCAACAAGCTAATAGTCTTTGGGAAGGTTAGAAGTGCTTAAGGGTGTAGCTTGATTCTGCTATTAATTTCTAGAAATAATTCTCCTATCACATTGTGAGGACCCCAAAGACATTGTTTACATAATTGTGCTTCACTGTACTCTTTTTTATTAATAATTTTGGGAGCTCTAGCCCTCAGTCAATACAATTCCAATCTGTAGCCTCTATGTGTTCAATTTAAAGGAAGACTATTGGCACTGGAGTACTGGATTGGAAGTCAGAGGATATAGATTCAGATCTAAGTTCTGCTTTCTACCGACGAAACCTTGGGCAAATCTCTTCACATCTGTGGACCTCAATTTCCTCATGTGTAAAATTAAAGTGATGAACTAGTCTGAGGTCTTTCCAGCTCTAACATCATATAACAAAAGAGATATCCATCTGAAATCTTTTATTGGTGTTTTGGGTCAGGCTTGTTTGAGGCCAGCCCAGTGGTTCATGTTTGGCAGTGGTTCGTGTTTGAGATTGTAATGAAATGAGACACTTCTAGACTGCATAACATTTATCAAAAGGAATTTACTTAACAATCTCATGAAAGGATATTAAGCAAGGATAAAGCATTGATTCAGATGTATGAAGCTCCCCTTGTCTTAATAAGGAACTAGCCTTATCAGGAGCATGGTTTGTGGTGGGGAGGAAGTCAGAGGTCATCTTTAGAAGTGATTTTGTTTGTGAATTGAAAGTCTTTACATACTCAAGTAAGCCTATACAACTTGCTGCAAACACAGCATATAGAACAAAAGGAGACCAGTCTCAAACACTTGTACTTGGAAAGTGTATTTGGGAGGTACAAAAAGCACTGGAGTCAGGGTCAAAATACCTAGGTTCAAATCCTCATTCCTCTGCTAGCTATCAACATGACTTTAGTTAAGTTGCTTCAGGTCTCTGGGCCTCATGGGTAAAATGGTGATAATAATATTTTCACTACCTACTTCAAAGATTGTTGTAAAAGTCAAATGAGGTAATATATATATATATATGTGTAATCTATACATTATCTATAAAGAACTATAAAAACATGAGTGATGGTGATGCCAATGGTAATTAGTAATTGCTTGTATTTCTTCTGATATACACTAGGTGGCAATATACTAAGTACATGTTAAAGTTTACTTTAGGGTGTAGGGTGTGTTCAAGGAAGACACCTCTGGTGTGAGAGCTGCTTTCACAGCTGCTTTCCACCTTTGGTGTCTACCTGATCCACCTAACTCTCACCTGTGGCATGTGCAATGGCCATTTCTGCAGATAGGCTAAACTAGGTTGAGGTTAACCAAGGGGTCTCAAACCTGTCGGTGAGTTAGGGGAATGTCTACCCCAAGCATGTGAAGACTTCCACTGGTGGAATGGGAGAATGATAACAATTTGTTCCAATGGCCATGAAGGCAGCTGAAGCAGGCTCTGTGGAGTGCTTAGAGATTGGTTAGACATCAAAGACTCCAAGGTCATCCCCCGCATCTTGAGCCATCACTAGTAGTCTTGACTCTTTCCTGCCACTGGACTGTGACAGCTCTGGAAGAGAAAGATCGACTATTTCGTTCAAATCTGCCTCACTTAAAAGCAATTTATGCACAAATCAAAAGACATCACCCATATCACTTTACCATTTTTACCTATCTCAAAGTACTGTGGTAACAGGCATGATGAAAACAGAAGATGCAGATACGCTAGAAGCTGTAGTCACAACCTTGCACATAGGCGGCCCAGGCCATAGGGTCATATTCTCACTGGAAGCCTCAGTGGGATTTGGCAGTCCCGTGGGTGTCTGAGAAGCTTTTTAAGAACTGCACTGCTCACCTCCTGGTATGAGGAAGGGGCTAGAAAAGGTGCCCTAAAAGTTGTCTGCCTACCCAACCCTGGCCTGTTTACTGTGGCAGGTAGTGATCCTACCCTGTGGTTTAAACACAAACAAAAAAGTACAAAAATTTCTGCAAAGGCATTTCCCACCCTTAATCCTAGCTAGGCTCCATTCTCCCTTGGCCACATGGTCCAGGTCCCAGGCATTCTGTTTACCCCAGCTTACTGGCCACTCCCATCCAGATCCTCCTTAGACCCCTCCTCCAGTCACCCCAAACTACTTGGCCACTCCTAGATCCCTCCCACAGTTTTTCTATGTATAAGGTCCATCTTGTCTCTATTAAGGTGCTCAGATTCTTATAATCTAGCGACTGCTCAGATTTTTACAATCTAGGCAATAGTTCACAGGTGCACAGATTCCTTAAGAGTCTGGCTAATATGGTGGATCTTTAATAAACCTTGTCTTTGGCTGAAAAATATAAAACTTCTGCAAAGATGATTCCACTCACCATCAGTACATGGAATGTGCACACACTTATAGACAACACAAAATCCAGTTGACCTGAAAAATGAACAGCTCTTGTTGCAAGAGAACT